ATGTATGTACGTACGTGTGTATGTATTTTTCTTTAGAGGTGTACAGGCCACCAAGTTACCCGTTCAGAGAATTCGGGTTTGTCACCTACCGTTTCAAATGCGTATCTATAGGTACAAAAATATATATAAACACAGAGAATCACAATGACAGAATAAAAATATATACAAACCACACATGGTGCATCTCAACATAAATAAAAATCTCAAACACAAACAATTACATACAAAATGAACAGATTCCAAGACAAAAATCAACCAAATCACATAACACAGGAAATGTAGTAGAATGTAACACCTATCCGTATACTATGCTATGCTATGCTGTACTATGCTAGACTATACTCTACTATACTACAGCAACTAACAAAATGTTTGAGAATTCTGACGCACTTTAGCAGGATATCTTATAGCGCAAAGCAACACAGCAGAAAAACAGCATGTTATAGCCTAACATAACATATGAAAAAGTCGTGATAACATACATGGTGAAATGTTTGCACAAAAAATCATGGCAAATTAACAAGAATAGTACGCCAGGGCGGTGTGCATTTGCGATAATCATGTTGGGTGTGGATTCTGCCATTGAGGATTCCAGTCGTCAGTTTACTTGACGTTCTTGTACCAGACTCCCGAACAGTACGCCAGGGCCGCCAGGGTTTCCAATTTGTGCAATTCTGTCTTGCTGCAAGCTATCGATATTTCTAAAGCTGCGTTGTGCAGCAAGTTCGTACGAAACTCCCAAGAGGAGGACCCTGCACTGCGGCAAGCTATTCGGGAATGCAGACGAGGCCACCAGGCTTGGCTGTGTTCGGCTCAAAATGGCGGGTTGGGGGCAGCGGGCGGAGAGTGCCCCCGCTCCCAGACAACGCATGAAACTACTCGTGGCTCGTATGCTCTCATCACGCCTGGCGGTACTGGCCTTACAGTATTGTCTGCTCGGGCAGCTGGCTAAGCTTGGCTTGCTTAGGGAGTGGGAGGTTGGGGGGAAGGGGCGGTTTGCCCCCTTCCCCCCGCGGCACGCACTCTCATTTTTTGTAACAATCCTACATTAATCAGAAATCAGTTGGGCATGGCTTTTCCGCCGAAATAGTCCCTTAGATTTGGGTGGATACTTCTCGATACGTAGCTTGTGTAAACAGGGGCTTATCATCTTATCAAACTGTGTGTTTAGAACCACAAAGGAGTTCGTTCGGCACAAATCCGTGCAACAGATGGCGAGTCTCACGGGTCTTTTCAGCTACTCGTTCAAGGTAGTCCCTGCCTCTAACCGAACATGTTCGGCCCCAGAGCTTCCGTTTCGGTTGGATATCGGTTACCGATGGTGCAGTCTTGCATTGAAAGCTCCACCTATCAACAAAAGCTCACTAGAACCCTCTGCGTACCGTTGACGGGTTTAGCATAAAATTCTTTCTTAATTTGCCTCAAGCTACCACTACGTGGGGCATATGCTCCCAAAAGCGGAACAGAAAAATCTGGCCCACATGATCTGGACTTGCAAAGGATTAGTCGGCCAACCGGCCTAATTTCTTGTATGCAAGGCTGCCACGTTTTGAGCACTACAATCCCTACACCAACCTACTCTCGATCCTTTTGCCATGCGGGACATCCGTACTGAAAAAGAAACGGGGATCACAACGTGTTTCACGACTACTACAATTAACATGCGTTCAGAAACAACATGACATCAAACTTTTCCTTCTTCATGGTTTCAGAAATTTACCGCCTCTTTGTAATCCTGCTGTCCACAACCTCGTACATTCAGCGTTGCGAACTTCATTGGAAAGCTGTACGGTGCTTTGAACCCTCTGGCTTCGTGAGACTTGGAGTATCCTTACAGTTAAGTTGCAGACAAGAAGAAACCCTTTCTTCCTGCTCGCCAAGGGGGCTTCTTCCTTCCAGCAAAGCTTCTTGAGCTTTCGGGGCCTTCAGACGTTTCAAAGAAATGGTGCTTCTATACAATCGCTAAAGTGTTTCTCTCACAAGCATGCGGACACATGGTTTATCCTGAAGTGCATGTCATTAAATGTCGCTTTTCGTTCTCTGAACGCCCTCCAACCCCTTCAGGCCTTTCGGGGGTTTCGTTGTTGAATCTAGGCCGAAGGTCCCGGCACG